AAATGCCTTTGAGAGACATCTACTACAGTGTCACTTTTAGTTTCACTTTTGAGAGCTTGGGTATTTCAACAGATGTCACCCGGTTTTCTCCTGCTTAAGCCCACGAAATATTAGGAATCACTTAATCCAGCCCGCGACTTAGACGAGCTTGCCCATGCCTGTCGTAAAATGTAAAAAAAAAAGCTATTCTAAGTGATCTAATGAAAGCTGAAAGTGAACAGTAACTAAAAAAGTATCTACATCTTCTCAGTAATCTCTGCAAAAAAAAACAACCCCAAAAAACCGAGCCTTGAGTTTTTATGATAATATTGCATAGCTGCCAACTTTTAAGAACCCAAAAAACACTCTACCAACATGGTAAGTCAAGATGTAATATACTAATTAAATATATTCATCGCTTTCACTTTCACACAGAGCCTATGTTATGTCATGTTAGGTTATGTTAGGTCATATCTGTGTGCTCTAAAAAACATACACACCATAATCCACCGGCATAAATCATGTCAGCCCTGTTTTCTTTGATTACTTTAACACTTGCAGTACCAAAGGCTCGTAGAAGAAAAAACCCTCAAGTCCCGCACCAGTTTAGAACGCTACAGCTTTGGTAGAATTTTAAAGCATTAAAATTTTTTTTAAACTTCACAGCCCGAGTAACAGCTTGAAAAATTCACAGAGTTTCGTTGTTGTTACAGATCCAGAACAAAGTTTCATCAACCATTTAGCTATCACATAGAGTTACTTCCTTTGGTATTTACTTCAGTGAAGTGACACCATTTGTTGTTTAACACTTTGCAGTCACACAGCCAGCAGTACAAAGTACCCCATCTGGTCACCCAGCCAGGAGAGCGACTGCAACGGACTTCTCGGGCCAGGCGCAGAACTGCACCAGGGGACCGGAACGGATAATTCTCTCCACCGCATTATTGTGGAAAGTGACCACAAAGTGATAAATATGTCTAGTGTGCCTAGTTGAGTTGGTGACTAATGCATGGCATCGGTGGTCAATTTCACTTCAAAATGGTAAGTGGCTGTAAAAGCCTATAGTAGCGTACATCTAGGAATACATCAAACGACAAAGACATATAAACACTGGCCTACTCAAATCCCTAATTCAAAACATATGTGAAAAGCTATATGAGCAAAACGCAAGCAAAAAATTAAGCACCCATTTTAAAAAAGCGTAGTGTACAAAATTAGCATCAACAATTTCAATACAAGAAGTAGTCGTCTGCCAAAAAGAAAGAAAAAATTAAAACTGAAATATAAGTAAGGGAACCAACCCAATTCACTAGTGACTAGCTGACTGCCTGTTAAAGACAACCTCCTTCCCAGATAAGCAGTCAAACATTCTGACAAAAAAAAACCATGTATCATCAACTTCACATCCACAATTTCCATTCATATTAAGTCACACGGTCATTTCTAGTGACAAGGGATACAACTCAAATCATACAAAAACCAAAAACAAATCTTGACAAAAAGGACACAAGAGTTTGCTCACAAAAAAATTTCAAAATATTGTCTGAATAGCGAGCATAAATAGTAGATGTAGGAGCTGTACGCCCACAGAGACACTATTTACTCCATTTAGGAGGCAGGTTGTTACACCCTGCCCGTCAAGGCCAACCCCGGCAGAGAGGGATACAATGACAAAATGAGAAAAATCAAGATGCTTGACAAAAATTCTCTGAACAGGGGAATCGAACTTCCACGTGCATTGGCATGGTGCCCAGATGCTCCAGCACAGGAGGCCTATTTAAATGTAAACTGGCATTTAATTAAAGAATTGCTTCTTTGAGTTCCAAATCTGAGCAAAATAAGCAGGTTGATCATACAGGAGAGATCATTTTCAAAAACAAAAGACCAGCATCAGTGGGTAGTGGGTAGGCATTCCGCTGCCCCACACATGAGATGCACATTCGATTTTTATTGATTATCTCAGTTTTTCTTTCTACTGGGATTTTGTATCCTTCTCAACCTTGGTTGGTCTTGACAGGCAGGGTCATAAGCCCGCCTCTTTATGATATAAATAGTGTTGAAGGAGGTGTAAAAACACCTACATTTCAAACAAAAATAATCTCAAGAAATATTCTTCAAATTGTCAGCATGCTGTTCAAATGTATTAAGCCCAAAAAGCAAAATTTTACAGGAGAGATTTTAAAAAACTTCCATTCTCTTCTCTTAAAAACTGCACCTACATTATGTGTTATTTTTTTCTTAGTTTTTTCAACATTTAGAATTTGAATTTCGACAAAATAATTCTTGAGCACATGCAAGCCATACCACTGGTTAAGAAACTGCAAATCAAAAAAGAATTTCAAAATTTTGAGCGTAGTACATTTCAACAGCTGGCCAATGATAGATGGACAATATTTTGTCATTTAAAAATATATGCAAATACATTATAGATGCAAATGAACGCAAATAAAAATGAGCGTTTTTTAAGTTATTTACGTAAGTCAACAAAAGTAGGTTTGGTTGCCAACAAAGTTATAAACATTCTTTTTGATTGTTCAACACATTATACACGGAAAACAGATAGCTTACACATTGCCTGGTAATACATTTGATCATCTTTCCAGACAATTATATGTCACGATGAGGTGGAATCAGGCGCTCGTCAGTTTTTGGACATGTGGTGTTATTGGTTTCATCTGACTGTTTGTTCATTTCTCTTGCTTTCGATGAAAAAAATACCCATCTATCTAGAAAAGATATCGAGATATTTTGCGATTGAACGAGATGGGGGTTGCCTGGTTTCGTGGTTAAAATAAGCGAGAAAACAACCACCAAAGATTGGTAACTTCAATACCTTGAGTGTCCTTGAAAACTAAAAATTTACATATTTTATGCCTTTATCTCTTTATCTCCAGGGGGGTAAACCCACTATACCAGGGCCCTTTTTTGGTACTAAATCTAAAAATGATGGAAACGTCACTAAATTGGTCATTAAATCAAAACAAGAGAACCTAATTTGATAGTTCTTCATCTAATGAATGAAATCCAGATAAAAGTCAAAAGATACCTGTTTGCGGCAAATAAGTAATATGATGTCGAAGTCATAAAGGAATGTGCTCGAGCCGCTGTCAGCAGCTCAAGGGCACAGCAGTTCCGACCACAAGCCGCTGGGAGCGGCTTGCCGGAGATAAAGAGCTAATCAACGTTTTTCAGTAAAATTTAAATGGAAATGTTTTCTCACAAGTACATAAAAGGAGTTGAGCGCAAAAACAAAAATTCAATAAAATTTGCCAAACTGGTGGAAAAATGCTTATTTCTTCGGTTTCGTTATTTTGACGAGCGCTTACTTTCACCACGATGCCTCATATATGTCTAATCATCTTGCTACTTGCACTGATATATAACGGCAAGCAATATTTAAATATATATAAAAATATAACGCTAGCAATATTTCTAATGTAAATGAGTAAAGCTCACTGATATATATATATATATATATATATATATATATATTATATAAGGCTAAGCAATATTTCTGATGGAAATAAATCTCACAATCTACACTTTTGTCTGTATGTCTTCACAGACCGCACTGTGTCAGACCTGCCAACCACCCCAGGACCAAAAAGAGAACACAGAATACAATATAACACGGATGGGTCGAACACAGAAGACACGAAATCATGCATCTGTCGAACTGTGCCTGCGGTCCCGGTTTTTGTTTTCCTCTATCTATGTAAGATATCCCTCGAACTATGGATCCCTCAAACAGCCCAGGTTGGTCCCGACAAATTCAAGCTTCCATGTTATACTGTATTTCTAAAACATGAATTAAGGGGGGGAATCAGTTTCCACAACTGCAGCAAATTAAAATTATCTAACTAACCCATCATGGTAAATAAACTTGTAATGCAAATACATTGTACACGCAAATAAACACAAAAAATAAATGCTTATCTTCACGTTATTTACATAAGTTTCGCAAATACTGCAAATAAACTCAACTAAAAACATCTGTTTTCACATTATTTATGATAAGTCTCACACAACCTGTCAGAAACGGAATTCAAGAAAAAAAAATGAATTCATGCAATTCTGATTGGGGATCTTCAATGAGCAAAGAAAAAAAGTCGGAGAGCTTTGATTTTATATAGGAATATTTGACAGGTCTGGTACACATGCACTGATATAATATAGCTGGCAATGTCTTTGAAGAATAGGAATGTCTCAGATATATATCTACGCGTCAAAGCAGCTTCAACAAACCTGATCAAAACAAAGTGATTGTTATAAGAGTCAAAATGATTATCCCTCCAAGTGTTGACGGCCGATTAAATCAGCCGTGAGTTTCATCCCGTGGTGTTGCAGCAGATTTAATCAGTCGTAATTTGAGTCGCTATTTCGGTTCATTTCTCCCGTTTTTTTTATATGACAAAACATTTCAACCCCTTTACAAATGAGCTCTACTTCCTCTTTACACTTTAATTTACAAAAATATATAGAGGCGAATGCCCTTTACCGGCTTAGTTTGCCCTTTCTCAAAAATTTTCAAACGTAATGTATAATGAAATCATATAATTTTCCATGACGTCACAGGCAACACTTGGAGAGTTTACTACAGTCATTAACAATGTCCATTATTTACAAGTTGTAAGAGTTTTCACACCCGCATCAACACAATCTCGTTTCTTGTTTCTTTAAGAGCTGAAAGACGTCCGTGCGTCACATAAAGGCAAGCATAAATAGTCATCACTGGCAGTGATTTTGTAGCTATACGTAAGCGATGATAAATAAAATAAGATAATTTCATGATAAATAAAATGGCCACTTCGTTCGTTTGGAGAGAGTTTTAAGCGGTACACTATAAATTTCTTTTTGGACTCCTAGCAACTCAAAGTTGGGCAGCTTCATTAATGTCATCAATAAACCAAACCATAACATTAAGTAGTAGAAACTGAAAAACAGACACATGGTCTGCAACGTACAACAATAAGATCACAACAACTGGTCAGTGCAGAAATAGACTCCCCACAGTTTTGCTATCTGGTGTAAACATACAACTATAAGTATATTATAAGATCACAACAACCGGTCAGTGCAGAAATACGAGGGGTGTTCAATAAGTCTTTATCCTGACTATGAAAGAACAATCATAAATGATGAAACTTGCAGAAAGTGATTTCTATCCTTCAAGAACGCTGTAGGCGAAATTTTGGGAAAATCCAGGGAGTGGTGAGAATTAAAGAATATTTTTAGCGAACGTGGTTCTTAAACACCAAAAGATAATGCAGTGAAGGCAATTCAGACAACAAAGCAGTTTGTCACCAGATATAGCACCCTCCGGTTTTTCCTTTTCCCAAATCTGAAAAAAAGTTATCAAAGGACAGCGTTTCCATACTGATGAAGATGCTATATCTGCAGTGCAGGAAAGGTTCGAGTCCCTTGTGCTCAAGGACTCTTGAAGGTCAAACAAAAATGGCAAAAGTGTGACAATTTGCTAGGTATCTATGTAAAGAAGTGAAATTGTGAGTATCAAATTAAATTTTCCAGCTTGCTTCTTTCATAGTCAGGGCAAAGACTTATTTAACTTCCCTAGTAGACCCCCAACAGTTTTGCTATTTGGAATAAACATACAAACATAAGATCACAACTGTTCCGCACAGAAAAAGATCCCTGCACAGTTTCACTATTTGGTGCATTCATGCACACCATAAGATCACAACTGAGCGGTGCAGGAAAAGATCCCTCCACCTCCCACACAGTTTTGCTACATGGTGTAAAGATATCGCGAGTTAAGTGCTATTTTGCATCAACTCCATTTACCCGGTTTTGATGTAAATCACAGTGAGAGTGTTGAATTCCGGTTGCGAAAACGGGAGTAAGTACAAAATGGAACTGAAATGTACGGAACAAGGGCTTTGACCCAAATAGTTCCGGGATCAAGTGGAAGATTCTTCATCTGCCTTGACAGAGCCATGAAGACAACTTAGACAGCAAAGCAGTGCGCTTACAAAATTCTTCCATACCCACCCTGTTCACCAGATACAGCACCCTCCGACTTTTCCTTTTCCAAAATTCCAAAAGTCGGAAATTAGAGTATGAACAATACAATAATAAAGATCACTTCTATAGCGCCCACTCCCTGGTGGCTCTAGACGATTCACAATAAAATACGATTCACATCAATATTTCATGCATACTGGTCCATTCTAAGTACAACATTTCTTTCGTCAAATACATAAACATCCGTAATCCAACAAACAACACGTACACAAAAAGCAATCACTGTGGCTACTGACCACACTACTTGGGAGAAGAATCAAAGTAGTTAGTAAAATGGGATATAAGTAAATGTGTTTTTAGATAAGTAAATGTCTTTTAGGACCACATTTAAATTCAATCAAAGTACGCGCCTCTCTTAAGCATGATGGGAGGGAATTTCAAACTGAAGGGGAAGCTATCTATAAAACTCTGTCTCCAATTTGTTAAGTTTAACTTGGCACACAAATAATTGTTTTTTATTAATTGTAAAATCCCGAGTGGATGATGGAAGCATCCAGTGAAACAAGTCCAGTCCCCTAATGAATGGTCCCAGGGTCTGATCCGATCGCAGAGTGCATGAAGTATTATTGCTAATGCAATCTCTTACAATTCCAAATAGATTTTGACTTGGAATTGTTAGATAAATATATAAACAGCTTCCTTTTCTATTTTCGGAACAGCTTTAGACATTTTATGAACATTTTACACATATTTCCCTTTACGTATTTCACAAAATCTAGAATTCCATCAAAATGTCGAAAATAATTCCGGGATCAGAGAGTTAATGGACTGTAAATTTTGAGATGAAACAGCACTCAGCTCGCGATAAGCAGACAGACCAGGGCATTTCACAGCTCAACCTGCACAATGTGAGTCTTGCTGGTGGGGTCTCTCGGGGGAGAGGTTTGTCGAGGGTGCGAGTGAGGGTAGTCGAGAGAGCTGTGGTTGTCACTGTGGACTGTCATGTTGGGGGGGCTCTCAGGAAGACTGTCGGGGGAGGTGGACGAGGGGGTCCGGCCGGTCAGTGTCTTGCCGAAGTCTGTCAGAGATACCACCTGAAAGATGGAAGAATATATATATATAAGAGGGTGGTGGGATGGGGAGATAGTGAGCGGGTGGGGGGGGGAGGAGTAAGATAGCTGGAAGGTGAAAGAATGTACATATCATTGATAATTATGTGTCACGACGAGGTGGAATCAGGCGCTTGTCAATTTTTGGGCATATGGGGTTATTGGTATCATCTTACAGCCTGGTCATTGACCTTCCTTTTGGTGAAAAAATATCCATCCATGTTGAATAGTAGTCGAGTTATTTGCGATTGAAGGAGGTCAGGGTCGCCTGGTTTCAGAGGTAAAATTAGTGAGAAAACGGCCACCAAAGTTTGTTAACTTCTATAGCTTGAAAGTCCTTGGAAACTGAAAATTTACATTTTTTTTGTGCCTTTAATCAACATTTTTCAAAAGATCCACACAAAAATGTGAGGCATCCAGGTGAAATCAGGCACTCGTCAAAATGAGATTGGAGATATTATCATTTTCCAGCCAGTTTGAGAAATTAGTTGAAATTTTTTTTTTTTGGCTCAACACCTTTTATGTCCATTTAAAAACAAATTTAAGTGTGGATTTTACAGAAAAAAGTTGATCAAAGACACAAAAAGGTAAATTTCCAGTTTCCAAGGACTCTAAAGCATTGGAAAGTACCAAGCTTTGGCAGCCATTTTCTCTCTTATTTTACCTCTGAAATCAGGTGACCCCACCTCCTTTAATCGCTTATATTTTGATTTTTATTAAAGATAAATGGGTATTTTTTTTATCGAGAGATGGATAAATGAACAAGCTTTAAGATGACACCAACAACTCCATAAGCCCAAAAATTGACGAGCGCCAGATTCCACCACGTTGTGACACAAATGTTTTTTTTAATGGTCATAAAATGTGTTGAGTCAAAAAAAAAAGAAAATTAGAACAAAATTGACCATCGGCTCAAAAAATGCAGATTTCTTTGATTTAATTGTTTTGATGAGCGCTGAATTTCATCACGATGCCCCACATATGTAGAG